ATAGTCTTTTAAATGGAAGCATTTTTTTATTTTCAATTAATATTTTTGCTATTACAGAAAGAGATTATTTAATTTATAATTTGTATTTCATATTTTTTTCAGAATAAGTATATTTAGCTTTTTCATTTTTGACTTGAATAAAATGGATAACATTCAACCTGAGCAGAAACTAAATTAAATGATAAGACTTATCTTGTTATTATGGGGACAGGAGACAATGTAGATTGAATTTTATTTCTTGCCTATATGGTGAGTCATTCTTACAACTCCAGTAATAATTCAACTTCCTAAAGAAATTCCTGCACTCTTTTTAGGCAGATGTCGGAGAATAACTGAAAAAGTTATTTATATGAATTTAAATATTAATAAGGTAAATTATATACAAACAAAAAAAAAGAGGTTTATTTCCTAGACTCCTATTTGTGTTCCATGGAGTAAGTTTCATCTTTAACATAACTGATAAAGGGAGTTTCAAATTAAAACCTCTAGAGATGATGATGATGATGATAATGAGTATCAAAATCTTTAAGTTTCCTAATAGAAATATTTTTATTGGCCAAAGACAATGCTGTTTGAAATTAAATTCAGAATGGTATTGATCAAAGTACTTTAAAACTCTACTCAAATATTAGTTTGTAATTACAAAACAATAAAATCTAAAAAAAATTACAAAAATTTTTTTTTTTCTAGAAGATCCCTTTAAATCTTAGTAAACTCTGCTGAAATACTGAAAAGTTAGGTATGGTGTCAAATAGATAAAGCTCTTGAAGTTTTGTACCTCTCATTCTTGAACTTCTGTTTCCCTCCTAATTTTTTTTATTTTCTCTGAGTTGGGACTGTATTCAGACAACATCTGAATCTAAAAATGAAAAGTAGTATGTGCAAAAGGGCTGTAGAAAACATTAATGTTTTAAAAAGAAGAAAGAGAAAAAAAATAGAGAAAAAATTAAAGTTTTGGATCCACTTTTCTTTACAATTGTATTGCACCTTGAGAATATTAAAAACCTTTGGAATAAATGTAGTATTGGCTCTTAAGAAACCTATGTTGCCATATTTTAAATGCAATATAAATTAGAATATTGTCGACTTTCATGTATGGTTTGAGCTTCTGTCTTCCCTGAACCATGTTATACATGCATCTTCTTTTCATAATCAAGTATCCACATTTTCCCCCAAAGTTTGAAAGTGAGGCATTGAGACATAGAAGAATGAGTCCTTTCCTTATCCTGTTTGTCCCACTCCAACAAAAATGTTATAATAAATGTAGACTTTGATTTTCAAATCAAACCCAGTCTCCATGGTTTATTTTCTCCCAAGATGGTTCATGGAGGAATGTGACCAAATTATGGGAGAAAATTGAATGTATGAAATAGTTTGTCAGGCAGTTTTAGTTGAACACAACCATTCTTCCCTTTTAGTGGAAACTGGATTGTGTAGATTGTCTCAGATGGGACACAAAATCGACCAGAGAGGTTAATTCTGAAACCCTTTGAAGAGGCACTTCTGCAGGACTACCCAATAAATAATTAGGTATTGCAAACACTGATATTTCATTTGAAATTGCTTTAATTGCTTTAAAAAACAGTAACATCCACAGGCAAAAGAGCTTTACACAAAACATCCTTCTCCTATCAGATTTTCTTTTTGTTGTATTTGAGTGTTTTTAACGGCTTGCAAGAAAAACTTGCAAGTGGGATTTCTGTGTTTTTATGACCTTTGTAGTGATGGAGGTCATGGCTCTTAGCAATTACTTCAGTCCCCTCAAAAATTTAAGAGTTTATACCACCTGAGGCCAGAATGTGCAGCTTATAGCGTGTGATGTGTCACTATTTCATTTCCATTTGTTGAGACCAAAATATCTACCTTAGAATAAGGAATATGGTCTTAAAAATTTGAATATATTCCAGGGACAGAAAGCAGGAGATACCAATATAACACTGAATAACAAGGTCTGGTAGTGGTGTGTCATGGCTGGGGACTGCAACCTCGAGACCGGACAAGCCAGAGACAAAGCAGTATAATTAAAATAATAAAATAATAGAAGGATGGGCTCCATTTGATGACCTCAAAATAAAAAGCTTTAATGGTAATCTGTACAAGGTAGAGGATTACACCAAAAGACCATGGTTCAGGCTGTTACAGTAACATATATGAACTAGGAGAGGGGTGGAGTCTGAGGGTAAGAGTCCAATGAAGAGGGGTGGTCAGGAATATTTAAAACACTGCAGCAAAGATAAACCAATGACAACAGGGGAAACAAGGAACTTTCTAGTAACATTTACATAACTACAAGGGGCACTGTGGGTACTGTCTTTTCTCTCCATGGTAAAGAGGGCTTCTCCCATGGCCTTCTGCCCGAGCTTTTACAGACCCCCATAATGGTGTGTTTTATAAGCAGCTCCATGGCTGGTAATATTTTATGCTACAGAGGAAAAATTAAATATAAGGTGTCAGGGTAATAGATTATACGATAATTTCAGCATTGTAACTAAGTAATATCCCAGTATTTATAAAATATTCTCTTTTTATAAATATATTTATAAAATATTTGCTTTTTATACATTCAGGGATTATGGACAATCTGTCTATATAATGTAAGTATACTATTTGCTTTAGTTGTGGTGTTTTTTTGGTGGCAATTTAGCATTCTGCACAGGATAAATCTGAAATTTCTGTTCTCTTTCAATGCCCTAACACCATCCTGTGAGAAGTGGTCACCTTCAAAAAGAAGAAGACAAATCAACCCTTCTGTTCTGGCCCCTCTAAATGATCTGTCACACTCCAGGAAAAAAAATTCTGATTGTCTAAATTTGCCATGCAAACATTCTTCTTTTGTGTAATTATGGGTTATGGGATTTTGGGTTGATTTGCTTTGGTTCAGTTTGGTTTTTGGGGGGCTGAAGTCAGGGTTTGGTTTTTGGTTGTGAGTTTTTTAGTAGTTTTGTTTTGTTTTGTTTCCATTGTTGTGGGTTTTGGAGGTTTTGTGGGAGGTGTTGTTTGTTTGTTTGTCTGCTTGTTTGTTGGTCTGGGGTTTTTTTGTAGTTTTTTGTTGGGTTTTTTGTAGTTTTGGGGGATTCTTTTCCTGGTTTGGTTAGGTTTGGTCTGGTTTTTTGGGAGCTGTTGATTTGAGTTTGGGGTTTTTTTTGTTTGCCGTTTGTTTGGCTGGAAGGTTGGATTTTGTTTGGTTTAATTTTTTTTTTGTGAGTTTTTGGGGAGTTTTTGGTTTTTTATATTTCAAGGCTTTTGTTTGGGTTTTGTTGGTTTTTTGGTTTGATTTTGGGAGGTTTCTGGTTGGGTTTTTTTGCTTTTTTTCAAAGGGGGGCGTTGTTCTGGTTTGGTTTGGTTTGATTTTGGTTGTAGTGGTATCAGACCATCAACCCATTTCTGTAGCAATGAGTAGAACTGGTTTTGCTCTGAGACACTTGATATCACAAGTGTCAACATCAGTTACTACCAAACGAAATCTAAAACCATTTAATGAACTCTTTCTGTTTTTATTCAGTTAAATGTAAAGTTTGAGAAATGTATCACAAGGAACTAAGCTAATTCTCTTGAGAAAAGGGATGTTCCCTGTGTATATACTTCAGCAACACTCAAACTGTCAGTTCTCTCTCAAAAAAAAAAAGAACAATACTTTTGGGACTTATAATAGGACTGATTTCTGTTTTTTGTACTTTTAGTTTCTTAGATAGGCCAAATTTCTTACTTCAGGATCAATTTTCCAAGGCTCTTGTTTTCCAAAATATTCCAGTCTTAGCATATTCATCTCTTTTGTAATGAGTTGCAGTTGATCACTTTGCAAAGTCAGAGGTACAAAATATTCCCCGACAAAATTTAGTCACCTTTCTCATTTCACAGGCAAAAGGAAATAAAAGGTATTTTTAGAATATATTTTTGGCTTAACTTGATTTTAACCAGCATATAAAAGTACTTAATGCTGTTCATTTAAATTTCATGTTGGTACATTTGACATTTTAAACGTGAGAGTTCCTGAAACACATTAGTTGTAGCACAGTTTACTTGCTAGTAAATGAGTATAGTTTTGGTTTTTGTAACCATTTTTTATTTGTTCTCTCAAATGTCCTTTATCAGCCCAAATTACTCTGAATTTTATTCTCGAAAATGCTTTTTGCAGCAAGCAGAGTGATGTCTCTTGAGTTTATCCCATTGTTAATAGCACATTTCTCCTGTCCTGGTCTTTAATCTGTCAATTTCAAATAAATATATTACTTGTTGGTGCCATATTCTGTTTGCAGAAAGTAAATGTCTCATCACCAGTGTTCCAGCAATAGCTTATTTTAAGTGAACGTTTACTGTTTCTTTATTGTCCAGAAAGAGTTTTTATGGCCTATAATGCAGTGTTAAATATTATCCTCACTAAATAAGTACCCGAAATAGAACAGTCTTATTTTAATATGGACCTATGGTTTAGATTTCTCTCCTTTTGTGACTAACCCAAGAAGAAATACCAGACCTTGAGAGAATCAGTGCTGATACCCTAAGTTTTGGGTTGGGATGTTTGATGGGGCTTTGATGGCCCCAGCAACCTATTCAAAAAATTAAAATAAGCTTTTTCTTCATTTTATATGCAAAGAATTGTAAAAAAATAGCAATTTTTACTTTTAGTATGTGTCCAAAGTCTGTTATCCAAATAAGAAAAAAGATGCAAGGGTAGATTACCTGAGGTGTGTTTTCACAGGTGAGATGCATCCTACAGATTCCAGTGACAGAGGTGCCAAAGCACGTCACACTTACAGTGCATCATGCTCTGTGTTGGGTGGCAATCAATGCCCAGACTCTTATTTCATTATTTATGAATGGGAAGTTTCTTTTGCTTCATGGCCAGCTGGTTTTGATCATAGAATCAGAGAATCCTGGAATTATTTGGGTTGGAAGAGACATTGAATCTTACCCATCCCACCCCAGCCATGGCAGGGCCAGCTCACAGTGTCCCAGGAGCTGCCAGCCCCAATGTCCAGCCTGGCCTTGGGCACTGCCAGGGATCCAGGGGCAGCCCCAGCTGAGTCAATACACAGGAGACCCCAGAAGTAGAGGCACAGACAAAATGACAGCCTTAAAGGTCAGAACTCTAACTTTTATGAACTTTAAAGGAAACATGACTAGTATTTTATTTCAATAATTTTCAGACTGATGAAAATGTAATTGCAGAGATCTGTAGAAGAACCTAAGGTGGGAAAACAACTTTAAGGTTTTAGATAAAATTGTACATGTAAACTAAATATCAGTATTCAAGAAAGAGATCCTGGCTTTGCAATACCCAGATCTATGAGAGTATCAGGTTATCAGCATTTAAGGGAAGAAACAAAATCCTAAGAACTGTTGCAGAACTATTGAGAATGTCAGGATGCATCCAGGTAGAACTGTAAAAATTCAGAAAATTATTATAATGTGTGTCTAGAAAGTAGATATTAAAACATACACAGTTGACTGAGCTTAATGTGCCCTCCATTGAAGTGTAATTTTTTATTTTTTTTTTTAAGTCTTCCTCCAAAATAAGAGCTCAAATACTTTAAACAATTAGTTACTTCTCTGTGAACTCTCTGGACTTTTGTGTTACTACCATGTATAAATTTTTTGTGTTTGGTTTGTTGCAGGTTTTCTTAACTGCTGTAGTTTCATGCTGTTTGTGCTTCTAGGAATAACAACATTCACATCAGGCCGACTGCTCATGAAGAATTCAAATTCTGCTTTTTGAGGCAGAGGAGTATCCACATGTTGCAGAGGAGGAAAGCAGAATGATGAGAAAAAAGCCCAAAACATGTGCTGGTAAAACTCTGTGGAACCACTGAACAGCTGCTCTTTTGTGCCTCTTACCAGCATCACTCTGGCAATGTGCTGGCTTCAACTGGTTCAAAGGGTTCTTTTCTCATAATTTGATTTTGAGGCCCACTAATGAGCGTTTTTGTGTCTTGTTTGCTTTGTGGGTATCTCTAATGCACAGCCTTGACATATTTTGACCTTGAAAGATCCTGAGAGAATGCAGGAAGGGAACACAAATTCCTCCACTTGTATAAGCTAATTACTATTAGTGAAGACAGCATTTAAAGATCATTTATAATCACATTTGGAGGGGATGCTCATATAGCTATTGGCAGAATCTGCTTTTAATTCGGTGTTGATGTGCTTCAAATGAAGATGTTGTCACACTCCAAGGGGAAAAACAATCCACGTCATCTGAGCAGATACTGGTAATTCATGATGAAACCAGCATTTTGAAGTGCTGGCAAGATATAGGGCTTCACAGGAGCAATTCTTCAGGGGAGTTCAGATGCTGTGAACTCTGGATAAATAAATTAGTCAAGAAATGGCTTGGAGTAAGCTTGGTTCAACTTGAAAATATAATTCATGCTTTGTATGAAGTTCTATTCCCACTTTAAATTAGAAGAGAGTGAACTCTCCTTCCAGAGATTTTTTTAATAAAATGAAAGTACAGACATTTTTAACTTTAGAGCTCTTAATTTTAGTTAACAGAGAAAAAAAAAAAAATACATATTGGTATCCCTTATGTGTTATTTAACTCCAGAAGATAGTAGCAAAACAAACTCAAAGGCACTTATTTCTTGCATCTTATGATGTCTTCATAAGTTAATTATGTATTTATGTTTTAGATTTCCTGAAATGGAGCACCAGTAAATGATAGATGACTTTCATCTGCAGTAATAGATTCCCATTTGTGAATGGTAGACAAGTTGACAGCCAACTCTTCTATCCATTCAAATGCTTGAGACTTCTTTTGGTTAATTTGGTAAATTAAAAATTAATGTCTTGTCCTCTTCAAAGACATGGGCTGCTACTTAAGTTTATATGGCTAATTTATATATTATTTTGGCTTTCACCTATCTATTTTTGTTTCAGGAATCATGTCATGCATGCTGAAGAAAAACATTTGTTCTTCAATTTTAGTTTCTGGGTTAAATTTCCTTTAATATGTTAATATCTGTATTTTGTGGACTCTTAGTTGTTATTAGCAAGTTATACACATGGTAATAGTTTCTAAAAATTCTCCTCTTATTAGAAATGGCATGTCTCTTATACTTTGTGATATGTTATTCCTCTTAAACACTTGATAGTAATTTTTACTATTACAAATTATATAAAATTATTTTTAATTCTGGGAATTTTGTTGTGGTCTTCACACCATATGGGTTTTTAACACTAGGAATGAGCTAATGGATTATATTGAAGAATTTTGTATTACTTACGTATTTATTTTTAACTTCTACATTAAGTAAATTAATCAAACAGCTAAATTAATATTTTATCAAAACAGCAAGTTCTAGTTCACTGTATTTATTCAGAAAATACTATTATTTATTTCATCAACCTGTTTCCTCATCAGAGTGAACTTTCAAACAGCACAGGAACAGGAAACTTTGGGAAGTACTGCAGGGGCAATCATAAATACCTTATTATTTATTAGGGAAAAGAGGTTTTTGCCTCTTTTTTTTTCTCATTTGCCACATTCTGAAGAGAAAATCTGTGGTATTCAAAACCTTTTTATATTACAGGTTGGAGGTAGTAGAAGGGATGGGGCAACGATAATTGAGGACAGGCCTTAACCAGACAGAAGTAGTTTAAAAATTTCATCTATTTTGATGTGAATTACTGGATTATTCACTGATATAATTTAATAAATCTGTTGCCTACTCTGATAATATTTCTGTCATATTAGGTTATTTCTTCTTCTGGTGCCCAAGACAATGTGGCTTTTAGTACCAAAAAGAAGTACAGTAAACTGAACCTTAAAAAATTTAAAAGGCTGATTTCATTGTATTCAGTGAAATTTTAAAAACAAGAAGATATAATCTCAAGTGTTCTGCATACAAAGTATAAGAAAATCAAGGATGTGATTTACAGAAAGATCTTCCTTGTATGTTTTCCAAATTTCATTTGGTCTTGAGATGAAACTTTATTTCTGCTTCAGCACAGAAATGGGCAGAGACTTCATCTGTTCAACTGGAGTTACTTCTCCAAGCCTAAATGGTATTTTTTTTTCTGGGAACATGTACATATTTTCAAGTAATGTGGAATCTCATATTACTTTTTAAGTTACATTAGTCATGTCCTTTACTGCTTTTTAAAGAAAAACTAAAATTTTTTTTTCCATTTTTTCCATTTTTTTTCTAAAACACCTCATTCTCCTAGGTTGATATTTATGCCTTGGGAATCACCTTTATTGTTTCCCTTTCCTGAAAAGCATAGCTACATGCCAGTACCCATGGCTATCTCGATCCCCAGCATGTTATGTTAATTATTAATTTTTTTAAGCCTTAAAACAAATGAATGCATCTGATTTTTAAAATAAAATCTAACAGGAGAGCAATCAAACTTTCCCTAGACACCCACTGATTCCAATTCATCTGCTCTTACACCTGTAGATGAGAAAACACATAAAGCACATGTGACACACTGCAGAAAACAGACAAAAAAAATATTATTTTGTGCCTCTTTGTGCTTAAATCTGTTGGGTGTAATGCACAGATGTACTAACACATGAGAAGAAATCCAAAGCAATAAGCCCTGAGGAAAAATAAATCAAAAGCTTTTTTCTTCTCTCGTTTCTCAGGAAATAGGTAGTGTGGGAATGTTAACTTCCAGCTGTTTGATACCTGAATGTTTGAATCTTGAGGTGTGCGTAAGGTGTCACACAGATTGTTCTCGTGCTTTGTAAGAAAGATGTCAGTGATGACTTAGATGAATAAACAGGTCTTTTATCAGGAGCTTCCCAACATGTCTTGTGAACTGGCTTGGAAGCAGTGCACAGTGTTCCCCAGAGGAAGTCTGTTTTCCTTTGCTGATCATTCTTTACGACAAAAAAAAAAAAATTATATTTTTTTAGAAATATAACGCATTAAAACCTTCTATGTCATTTGTTCCTCAGGTGAGTAGTAAACAAGACTAACCTGCTTCAAATGCGTGGTTAAAGAACCAATATACAAGGCTGGCTCTGTCAAAATCTCCATCTGAAAACCCATCATGAAAATAGAAGTAATGAGCATACAAAAATACTGCTTTGATATTTTTTTTTTTTCCTCTCTCCCAATATGTTAGAATTTGCTCTTTTATTTTTCTGTTTCACAACAATTGTTGCAGCAAAGGGGCTCTTTTCAGAAATCACTCTTAGAACAAAAGAAGTAAGTATATTGTACCCATCTTTCAAATTTTTATTCACTTGCAGTTCAACGATCTGTAGACCTGATGACAGTTTTGTTGCTCACATAAGTATTTAAAACTGAAGAATTTGAAACCATGCAGCTGGGAGAATGCTGTTCCGTTTTATATCCTGCAAAAGTGGAGACTTTAAAGCTGAAACCTCCCCTTCTCATCCTCCTGTGGACAGATATGCACACACATTACTATATTTGGTGGAAACTCAAAGTTTCAGTAGCAAAAAGAGATCTATTTGGCCAAACAGCTGTACAATAGGAGAAGACTTGTAGATAGAAAAGGTTGGTGATGACATCTCTATTTGTGATGAGGTTTATTTCAGCTTCAAATGCTCCTGTGGACTGAATACCTAGAACTGACTGGAAAAGCATAATTTCATCCAGAAAGAACTTAAGTTTTCTGTTCTGAGATTATGCCTGGTATTAACTGGAACATAAAAAGCAAGATTTGCTGAAAAGATTGATGCTACCCTAAAATACTAAAGGCTAAATAATCATCAGATGTCATCATGAAAGTCACCAAGTTCATCTTTCTTCTTAAAAAATTTAGTGTTATATTCAAGTCTGTTATTTACACATAACCATGAAATCACTGTAGAAGGAAGAATGCACAGAAAGATCTTTTCAAATTCTGCTGGGTTTTTTATTTTTTCTTTCTTTCTTTTTTTTTTTCTGAGAGAATATAAAGCTTTATTATTGGAATGGGTGACTTTTCACTTTTTATTGTCCTCCAGTATTTATTCACTCTACCCCAGTGAAAACAGGAACATTTTGTCTGAGACGTCAAATTTTATAGTGTTCAAGGCAGGTCAAAAAAAGCAGAGTATTATTTTCAAATACAAAGATTATGTTATTGCTCCATTAGAATTAAAGAAAAAGAAAAAAAGGTAAAAAATATAGTAAATATAAGAAATTAAAACCACCCAAAGTAGTCATTCTGTGACACAATCATGTCAAGCCTTTGCAAAACACACCTGATTAACAAAATCAATGTGAGAGACTAAATAATAGACAATTTCTGCTTAAGAATAATTTTCATTTTGTAAAATGATGCACATTAATAACTGTGTATAAGATACATGCAAGTTGAGCAGGTTTTGAGGATCTGACCCTCAATAATGCATAAGTAGAGTAAGTAAGTAAAAAAGTTAAAGAGATCTGACCTGTAGAAAAATAAGAAATATGAGAAGACGGAATTTTTGTATATTTTTGTATATTTTCGTATCTTGATTCATAAAATTCATGGTGTAGTTGGTCACTAAGTGACACAAAAGGTTTCTGTTAAAAGAAACTGAAACCCACAACCCCCAAACCTGAACAATTTTAGTCAAAATATAGATTACCCATCTGACAACTGTATTTAAGTGTTTACCTGGAAAAAACTTCCAAGTTTGAGATCTTTTTTGCTATTTTGCTTACACAACTTGAATACTACCTTACAGATTCTACAAGATGCATGATCCCTGGGAACCTGAGTTTTAGGATTTCCATAGGAAAATGAAGCACAGCTTCAAAAATCTATCTTTTGTCATTGCCACTACACCACAATAATTTTGCCTTCAATAACCATCTTTCATGCAAAAATTTCTGTCCTCTTTAATAACAGACATGTCATCTATGGTTGCAAATTTACTTTTTCTCCTGGTGGTTCATTTCTAGAAAGAACATGCAGATTAAATTCGACAAATCTAAATTTGGTCAATTAAAAACTCAGGAGTTTATCTCCTAATTCTCTATTTTGTCAATTAAGCATACATTGGGAGTATGCTTCATCATGCACATCATCAACACAATTCATGACCTCACCAAGTATTTCTGATTTAATTCAACCTTAACAGGTATTTCTTAGTGTCTCGAAGCCAGCAGGTTTTCTCCAAGATATGACCTCACCTAAATTGCTGGTTTACACCTCTGAATTTTACCAAAAGAAGGAAAACTCAGCTTCATGTTGTGCCAGCATTTTATCATTTTGTATATAACAGGAAACAGGGAGACAAATCTTTACTTTCAAGAATAAGAATCAGTATGAAAACGGAACGATTTGAAAAAAATTGAGTTTGCACTGTGATCACAGTGTTACCCATAAATTAATGATGGAATGTTTTACTATGAAAGAGAGAACATTTAACAACCTACCATTTCTTATTGGTTTGGTTGGTAATGACACTTTTCTCACAAAACATTTTTTGGAACCCGTATGATAATTTCTGTAGAAGAATTAAAAAAATTTTTGTTCTTTCCCGTGGATTAACCTTACCTTCATTTTTGCCAATACAAATAATTGTTACAGCAGCATCAATTGCTAATAGAGGTGGTTTGCTGAATATACAAAGAAAAGGTGGCTATGAAACAGTGTAAAGTGCACAAAACAAAGAGTTTGTGCATGGATATACTTGTGCACCTCAGAACTACAGAAAAAGTTCTATAAAACTTTGGTGAACAAAATAGATTATATAATTGACTGTGTGAGGGTACAATGACGTGCATATGCTGCTTTACTTTAATATTTCATCATTTTAAATTCATATGATTCACTTGAAGGGCAATAACTGATAAATTGGGAGTGTCAAAGGAGACATAAAATTCATAAAGCAGGAAAATAACCCAGGTGTTGTATGGCATGATGATGGCTGCAAAAGAAAATTGTTCTCAGCTTCATCAATGTCATACAACAATCTTCTTTTAAAGGTCAGGAACATATTGAGGCCATCACTGATATTATTATATATATCAGTAATATTATATTACATATTGTAATGTTATTATATGATGTTAGAAATAAGACATTATTCTTTGGCCAGCCAAAGAGCTGAACTCAATATATAATTTTGGAAAACATAGAAATGCTAAGTAAATTAATATTCTTGGACTTCTTCAAGGGCTTATTTACAATATATCTAGATTATTCTAGTTTTGTTTTTTGTTTTTTTAACAAAACACATATTTTAAAATACTTAATATTACATTTAACAGAGTTCTATACACATTTCTTTCTCACTAGCAAGCCAACGGAGTATGAAACCTTTCCTGTATTTCTGACATTCTTTTTTCTACAGATATATTATGTCTGAATAATTTCACATTGTACACTGTCACTTTTGAGTTGAAAAAGTTCAAATTTACCCTTTCCCCTCCAGATAAAAATAGGAAATAATTTCTATGAAATTTAACTATTTTATTTATCCATGCCACCTAATGGATTATTATGAAAGATGAAGTATCTTTCTATGCCTTTTGTTCCTCCCTCACTCCCTTTTTTTCTTTCCATCTTTCTTTCCCTCTTGATTCATTCCTTGTCTGTTCCATTGCTTTTTCTTGCTTTCTCTCTTGCTTACTCCATGTATTTTTTCCTCCCCTCCCCGTTCTTTCATTTTTTCTTTCTTTTTTCTTTTTTCCTCCCTTCTTCCCTTCCCTTCCCTTCCCTTCCCTTCCCTTCCCTTCCCCTCCTCGTCTCTGACTTCAACAGCTCAATAAAACCCACACAATTGACTTTGCTACATTACTGGGACTTAGGTTTTCGTTAATTTCTTTTTTCTAATCAGTTTTTCACCCCTACATTACTAGGGTGCATTAGCTGCATTAACTGGGTACTTAAGAGAACAAAATTAGTGGCCAAATCTCAGGGGAAGAGGCCATTGGCTTGCACTTTTCTTGGGTCTGTGGAGGCCCAAGGGCCTATGACTAAAATCCCCATACCCTGATCTTGGAAGCTCCTCCAGGGCCTAAGGTGAGAGAAGGCTTCTGTCACACAGATCTGCACAGCTACATAATAATGTATGAAATTTGTTCCTTCATTGCTTTGCTGAGTTTATGTTCCAGCCCCCATTCACCTTCTCTGGAAGTTCTCTAGAATGTTCTTCCTTTCCTCAATCCCCATTGGCTCCAGTTTGCTACATGGCTCCACCCCATCATCCTATTGGTTCCCCTGGTTCCTAGCCACGCCCCTGCACCACTTTACCCTATCCCAATTGGTCCTTAGCCCTCAGAGCCTCCCCTTCTGTCCTGTATTTAACCCTGTGCCTTCACCCCTGGTTTCTAGCATGTCCCAGAGCCCGCTGGAAGCTTTTTGTGTTCCTGGTCCCCTGTTCCTGAAGAAATAGCCTTGGGTACCCAAAGGAGAGCGTGACCCTTCGTACAGCCGCCAGCCTTTTTTAGCAGCGAGCTCCGGGACCAGAAAGCGCAGGTCGCTCTCAGGTCTGTGCTGTTGTGCACCACAACCAGGGGCTTTGTCTCTGAGGGGAGCCCTACGGAGAGTGGGGCAGCTGAAGCACGGGGCTGGGGCAGCTGTTGCCTCTCTCTCTCTATTCTTGCTTTCCTTGCAGGACGGTCGGAGCTGCTGCCTGGGGAAAGGAACTGGCTGCTGCCGCCACAGCCCGGCTGGCTCCCGGTTCTCCTGCCGTGGTGTGAGCTTGTGCTTGTGAGAGCAGGCACTGCCCTGGGGCTGTCAGGGACTGACCTTGGGATCAGCTAGCTTCCTAAAAGGGAGAGTTATCGCAGTGCTGAGCTGGGTACCCGGGATCCAGAGCGGGCCTCTCCCTGTCCTGCTGGGAGCCGGGCGGCTGCTGCCCCGGCCCCGCCGCTTATCGGGCACTGCTCCGAGTTTTGGCTACTCGGTAGCCGTGCAGCCTCCCGTCTGCCGGCCCAGCTCTGCCGTGTCCGTGAGTCCTGCAGGCGCACGGGGATCGCCTGCCCCACGGTCGGTGAAGCAAAGCCTCTGTGCCATCTCTTCCCCACAGGGCCGAGCCGCCATTTCCGCGCTCTTCCCGAGCCCGCGGCACAGCGCCCCCTGCACCCGTGGCTCTCCACGGGCCCCTGGTGCTGCTCGTTTGCTTCATTGACACACCTAGGAAGGTCTGTTACTGTCCGATCTTCGCGTGAAAGCGCCTTAATTTCAAAATGACAACAGCTGGGAAGCAGGAGGTTTACATTTTCGTTTGAGTTGGAGGCTCCTGCCTTCCTTAGCAGACCCCTGTGCTAAAAACGAAGACACTCACTGGCTCCTTTTCCACCTTCACTCGGCTCCAGCTGCTCCTGATCATTTGAAGGAGCTGCTCAGAAGAAGGGGCTGCAATCCTTCAAAGCTGGGGCTGCTTTTTGTGGTTCCCAAAGTCCTTTGTGACATCCCAGAGCCCAGCTGGGGGTATCTGAAGGACTTGTGGGGCCCTGGGCTGGCCAGTCTCAGAAGAGCGGCTGTGTCCAGGTACCTGTGTGTGCCAGAGGACTGCAGGCACGGAGGAGAAGAAGGCAAAGCCCAACTCCCAGCCCCACAGGCCCTGGCCCGGCTCACAGAGAGCCCAGGCCTTGAGGGAGCAGCAGGAGGAGGCTGAAAGGGCAAGGAGAGGGAGGAGAGGAACCTTAGATGGAGACCGTCTTTGTGAACTTCTATACTGGGGAAGAGCCGGAGCTCTCCCGAGAGGAGGAGAACAAATTCTAGTGAGGGACTCCAGGTGTAGCACAGCTGCAGGATCAGCGGCCCCTTCTTCAGNATAAAGGAACTGTCTAAATTCTGGCAGTCCCCTTCAGAGATCAGTAACAATTTCTGGGAGACACCAGAACACTTGTTCTGGTTTTGTGGAGACACTGAATACACGAAACTTCCAAGCAATTGGGCAGGTACCTGCACGATGGGGATAGTAAAGCCTACTTTCTTTCTATTGCCAAAGGAACTTGGGGCGAATCTAGGGATTCCACTATTTGATGATTTAAGAAAGAACCAAAACCGACAAAGGCAAGGGACCATCCAAATGGGGGGTGATCAAGAGTGGAAAGGGAAAATCTGAACCCCGGAAGAAATAATCAAAACTTATGGACCTGCTACCTGGGTCCAAGATGGGTCCTGGGGTTATCGGACCCCAATTTATATGCTGAATAGAATAATTCGGCTGCAAGCTGTACTTGAAATAGTTTCCAATAAGACTGCCCTGGCTCTTGATCACATCAGTGATCAACTAACCCAAACTCGGTCTGTAATCTACCAGATTAGGCTAGCAGTCGACTATCTACTCGCTGATGAAGGAGGAATCTGTGGTAAATTTAATAATTCTGAATGTTGTCCGGAAATAAATGACAAGAATGAAGTAATTAAAAATATATCCCAAGGAATTAGAAAAATTGCCTATGTAGGAACCCAGCAGTGGACACCCCTAGTCAACACAAATTGGTGGGACGGGTTCTGGTCTTGGAAGGGAGAGTGGTGGAAGAAAATCGCATTTATTACCATTTGTGCAGTTACTGGGTTAGTTTTCTTGCCGTGCATACTTCCTTGTGTGACCCGATTGATTACTACCACAGTAAAAGCAAGCCTTATGGCCCCTGAAGAATTAAAGCAGTCAGGAGAAATGAGTAAAATAATGGCACTAAAAAGTCCTGACAACACAAACCAGGAAGGCGCTAAAGAAATCTATCTCAGATTTCAAAACCTGAAAGGAATTTACATCCAAGATTCTGAAACAGCAAATTGATGTGGGTTTATAACCCGATCAAAGAAATAGAGTTGGGACTGATATGAGTAGGCCTTACCTAAAATCGGGGTTTTTGCAAAAGTGTTCTTTACAGCCTCTGTTCCAGGCTCTGAGTTAGAAGTGTTCCGGTTCTGAGTTCTATGTCAAAGTGATCCTTGTTAGCCCTGCCCTATCACTGCCGGAGTTAGAGACTTCCCAACATGGCAACCGGGGTTTATGTAAATTTGACACCAAAAAACACGATCACGGACAAGAAACCCGATCCACGGAGTATCGGAACACGAAATAGAAGAACCAAGAGCAATGCCCTAGAGTCGGAATTGAGAGGCACTACCCACCAACTCCGCTCTCCTTGCCATGACCGATAAGAGACTCGCTAAGAATGACATCCCTGGACTTTGGAGCCAAAAAGGGACTCTGGGTTTACCCGTGAGAACAGAGATCCTGGCTCTGCCTACATTGCACCCCGTAGGAAGAACCGCATTCGTCCTCCTCCGAGTCGCTCCTGGGAAGCAACGGCGGTGTGCGCGTGACCTGTTGGGCCCCCACCCCAAGCTGATTCTAAAAAAGGCTTTAAAACAGGAGAAGAAGGTCTCCTAGCCCTGTTTTTATCAGTAATATTAAAAAACTATGAAAAAAAACCCATAGCAAAAATAAGCATAACCCCCCCCCCCCAAAAACCACAAGAAGCTCAAGAATAAGAATAGGAATATTAGGAAGAGCAGGAAGCAGATGAAGAAATAGTAGTACTAGGAAAGAGAAAGATTAAGAATAATAAAAATAAAAGGATGCGATTAAGAAAATGATCAGAATTGGAGTGAATTAAGGGAAATACTAAGAGTAAGAAAATGAAATTAGATTTAAGAAGTATAAGAAATATAACATGAATAACAAGAACAAAAAGAACAAGAACAAAATGTGTATCAATTGACAAGGACAACTTAAAGAATAACATGAAGAAGAAAAAGAATAAGAACAAGGAAATGAAGAAGAACAAGAAATAAAAAGAGTAAGTCTGAGAGCAAGAAGTATAACAAGAATAAGAAGAAAACAAGCGCAAGAAGAAAAGATCAACAAGCAGAGGCAGTGAGAACAAGTCACAATCGCTGCAGGGTTCCCAGAGCTCTCCCCAGGCTCACTGCTGAGGCCTTGCAGCACAGCACTGCACGGGATGCAAAGCCATGCAAGAGATGCAGAGTTTGCTGCACGAGGCTGTGTCCAGGTTCCCCCAGGCAGGGCAGGTCCCTGGGTGCTGTCCCTGGCCCAGGTGTCTGTCACTGGCTGAACTCGATGTTCCTGGGGAACCCTCAGCACTGAGGAGACCTGATGGAGAGCGTCAAAGGGACGGCATTGGCATGCACAGAGGGGGGAAACTTTCATTGTAATCCCTTCCCTTCCCTTCCCTTCCCTTCCCTTCCCTTCCCTTCCCTTCCTCCTTGTCCTTTTTCCTTTTTCTCATTTTCATCATTTTCATTGTCTGTGTGATACATTTGTTCCAGTATAGAAAAGAACCAAAATTACCTCGTTCCTCTTTTCTGCTGCAATAAATTGTTTTAAAATAAATGTGCCTCATTTAGACAGTGGCCATTCTGTGTCCTTTCACCCCGAGGGGTGAATTAGCAGGAACCCAAGTTGCCCTGCCTCAGAGGTGGCTTGAAAAAACACCTTTCTAAATTAAGAAACCACTGCTTCTTATCATGTAAAGGAAACACTGAATCTGAAGAAAAGTTAGTGCCATTTTCAGGCTAAAAGCAAGCACTTTAATTCCAAAGCGAGAACACTTTCAGCAACTCCTTGTTACGACAGAGCTTTGCTTTAGGTGGTGGTGTCTTCATGTCAGGCTGAGCGTGGGTGATGTTCTGGCTTGTTTCCATCTGTATAGGACTCTAAAGCGTGCCAGGCAGAAAACTAATACCTACAGAATACAAATTTCCAGATGAAATCATATCATACTGTTTTTTTTTTTCACGTTTCCTGTGATTTAGGCATTTTCCTTTGGATTTGCTCTGACAGAGAAGTCCTAATGCTTCTGAAGTTTGATCTTTTACTCCCTCAATAAAGGCAGGTTTTCCCTTCAGACACTTGGCCTCTAGTTAAAGCATCAAAACCAATTAAAAAAAAAAAATAAATGTAATACTTGAGTAGTGTAAATTACGTCTTCCCGGGATGATCTTAGAGCTATCTAAAAAGAGAGCTAGTAGAAAAAAATGGCAATTCAAGATTCTATATTGCTTTCCTTACCAGCATCTTTTACCTGTTGGTTGTCTTCTGATGAGAAAATCAAAGGAAATCTAATGATATTAATTTTCTGGCCTCCGTGAAATCATTAGTGCAAGTTTATTGCAGGACCAGTGGTGTTATTTGTGGCCTGGCTTTGTGTCACTTTGGACAGTAATTCCAACAGGTAGAATGATCTGTTGAGTTTGGACT